TTCTCCAGCAACCAACAGCCAGATAAGCAGGGATTAACACCAGACAAACAGTCAAGCAGAAAATAATACCCTAATCAAGAACTACCAAGGAGAAAACCACACCTCCATCAACACTGGCAGGGCAAGCTACTGTATATAAACAGGGAGCAAACCCCATACTTCACTAGCACTGATGATGTTACCTAGTCAAGTAATGAAACATCTGCAAGCAAACAACCAAGCTCAGAGAGCACCAAGGACTCCACACCTCTTTTATTACCTTAAAGCCTAATGGTTTTCTGGGTTTGGTGTTGTGCATAACAGTGGTTGCCTCATCTGTAAAAAATTGGGCAGTTCACTGTAAAATCCTTGCGTGTTTTCAGTGCATTGCTGGTGATCCTGAAATCTCCCTCTGTTCTTGGTTTAAGAAAACACAGTCAAGATTATTTTATTAAGCTGAGAACTCCCTCTACTAAAGTAACATTATGAGGTCATAATTTATCATTTCAGCAGGTTGTTCCTTTTTAGATTAGGATTGACCAATTGCTTGTTGACTGCTTTAATTAACAGATAATGTTTTGTGAATGGCTCTTCCATGAGAGCTAGTAGACTATTTCCTTTGTCTACAAGCAAGACAAGCAATTAGGAAAGAGCGTTTTCCAATAGTTTTTTCCCCAGTTCAGTACAGGTAGTCCCCAGTTTAAGTATGAGTTCTGTTCCCAAGCTCTGTCCTTAAATCGAATTTGTATGTAAGCCAGAACAGTATTATTGTATAATACTGTTTAAGTAGTATTGTGAACTTGAACCATTGTGTATTTAACTCAAATCATTATGTATTTAACTCGAATTTTGCTACAGTGGGCTCTGTTCTTAATTATGAATTGTCCTTAAACCAGGTGTTCTTAACCCAGGGACTACCTGTATTTGCTTTTTTAATAAGGTGTTTATATTAATTATATCATTTGATATAAGCTCTGATTTTATATCATTAAAGTAAAACAGCTTTCATTTTGGAAGGGTGGCTAGGTGGAAAAAACTGGACTTTGTTTCAAAACCTGTAAAGCTGTTTCTGTTTTTCAGGCAAACACCATTCTTCCACATTGTCACAGCCATCATTTACACTGCTTACCAACTTTAATGAATATGGCAGCTTCTTTTGACATTGTAAAGGAGAAGAGACTGTAAGCATACATTTTAGTAACATGCTTAAGATACGCTAAAAGTATTCATTCAGCATTCTTGAACATCAGGGTACATCTTTATACATTTTATTCATCGAAATAGATATCTCTACTGATGAGTCAGAAAGATAGATAGAATTTCTGCTCATTGAAAATTGCCTCCTTTCTTTCTGCTGATGGAAATCTCTGCTCCGTCAAAGAGCTTTCCATCAGCACTGGAACACCAGTTGCATAAACCCACTAGTGAGCAGTTTTTGCTTCCTGTATTATTATTTTCATCTGAAAATTTCTCTTGCCAAAATACTGATTAAGACAGATTGTGTCTATTTTCAAAAGAAAGCAAATATAATCTCCTTGTTTTTTTGTTTTGAAATTCCCAATTGTTTTCCTTGCATGTTGTATTTCAATTTTGAACTTTATTAGTTGACATTTTCAGTAGTTGTTTCCCCGTGACTTAAATTTATAGCCATGTATTAGAACTACATATGTTGAATGCTGTACATTTATGCTGCATTCTCATTTTTGAACCAATTTCTTCTCCACTACAGCAAACTCCACTAGTGGCACTGATACTCCTGCATATTATTTTAAAGATAGGAGTGTAATCTTGGTGTAAGAACCAATATATTGTAGAATCAATCATTATAGCACTACATGTAAATTACATTCAAATAATTTTTGTTTATAACTCGTAATTACTTGTATGGTATAGAACAAATGAAAAGATCCAAAGCCTGCACATTTAAAAATGTCAGAATAGTATAATTGCTATTTCACTTAGACTCCTGAAATGGGACTCAGTTTGTATTGGATTCAAATAACATTATTTTATAACATTCTATGCTTCAGGCCCCATCATAAAGGTGACCTCTGCTCAAGCCATTATTAAGCTTGAAAGCCATCTCAGCATAAAAAATCCCTGGGATTTACAGAATATACCATGCTTTCAGATCCTGATTAAGTACAGTAATTGTATTAACACGTTCTTCTGGTAGACGAGCCAGTGCTGCACTGAACTGCTTGAAACGCTTTCATGAAATGAAGAAAAGAGGACCTAAACCTTACAGTCTTCATCTAGATCACATTGTTCAGAAAGCCATGTCAACACATCAGCGAAGAGATCAGTATCGGGTGCAGAAAGATATCTTTATTCTAAAGGTAGAGTTATCTGTGGTTTTGTAAACACAAAAACATAATACTTATATAATTTTAACCTAAACTTTCCTGTTATAATGGTTAGCAATTCTAAGTATAGACTAACATTTTTTTTTCATTTGTAATGGGTCTTGGGGAGCCTGTATCACTAGAAGCTAATACAACTCCAAGGTTTTGGTTTTATTTTCTTTTTAAAAACTATGCATTTTGGTTTGGTTAGTCTGAAATGTGGTGATAGTAACACAGAGGTAATTTTACAGTAAAACTTACTTTTCTTTTTCCTTCTGCTGCTGAAGGATACAGAAGAAGCACTATTAATGAATCTGAGAGACAGCCAAGTTCTTCATCACAAAGAAAATCTGGAATGGAATTGGAATCTGATAGGGACCATACTTAAGGTAAGATATACAGTACAGTGATATCCTAATCAACATTTAAGAATATAAATATAAGGAATTAATTGAAATAATTCTTACTATGCTTTGTATTTGCTGTTTTTAGTGGCCAAATATTAACTTAAAGGCTAACAAGGATGAACAGTTGCACAGGTATGTAACTATCTATTATGTTGAGAAAAATAATTACAAAAATATTTCAGTTTGTCCTGGACATTTTTGTTATTATAATATTTTAGCTAGCAGCTGATACGTTAGATAAAAAGAAATTGGATTGTCTCTCTCCCCCCCCAATAAATTTGAATTTAATTTCTTGTAAATAAACTATTTTCAGCTATTTTAGATCCAGTGTGGCATTCACATAAGAAAGATCAGGTATAAACAATTATTTTCAGATGATGAACTACCAGCCCTCTAGTAATGGGCATAGACAACAAGAGGTTATTCTTAATGGAGTTGAACAAATGGATGAGTTTTGAAATTAAAGTAATAGTTGTAATATTATCTTAACCATTGTGTTTGTGAGATCCTGTCACAGAGAACACTGGATACTGTCACACAGCATCATAAAGAAGGATCTTTATAACTCTTCCAGTCATACTTGTTTATATTTATCCAGAGGGTCAGAACACATGGAAACAAAAGCAGATATATGAATTCTGTTGGCCATTTTGTGATCTAAAGTTTCACTTACTCATATATAAGCACACCTGTGTACACCTGCACAGTTCAAAATCTAGCTGGCTAGGCAAGGTTTGAGTTGCAGAAGAACAGAAATGGGGTACCCGCCATGCATGGTACCTCATATCATATGATGGCTCTGTAATACTACAGTTCCCATCCACTTTTGTAACTTTCAGTAAGAACTGTCTCTTGTTTTGAGAACCACTTAGCATTTTTTAGTGTCTTCATAGAAATCTTAATTCTGGTATTTTACTGCGTTTACTGTAAAAGCTGATTTCTACTAGAACAATTTTTGTGCCTTTATGAACTTATCTATTAACTTTTTTTTGCTCTATCAATTTGTGGCATTATTTTATTGAAGAAATGCCTCTAATAATGCCTACTTATTTCCCACATAATGCATTTTTTCTTAAATTACCTTATTGTTTGTTACATTACCTTATTGTTTGTTACATTATATTTCTCATAAATTTCATTTAAATAAAAAACAGATTCTGTAAGTACTAGATGGCAGACAAAGATTTTTTTTTCCTTTTCACCAATTTAAAAAATAACTGATTTTTATCCTAATTGGCCACTTTTATACAATATATTTTCTCTCAAAATTTCATATTGAATCTTGTAAATTCAGGAAAAAGCATTTTACTTATTTGAAGTCAGCAGAGGGATATCAAGAGTAGTTGTTTACATTTGCAGATAAGCAACATAAAAGAGAAAGATTTGTGGGATTTAAATATTAAATTCAGAAATTCAGAGTGCAGATTTGAAAATGCATAACTAGAGTCTTCTTTAGCTTATATGTTGTTAATAGTGCTCTCTTTTGACAATGTTTTATTTTCATTTATTTTATATGTCTTAAGAAATACAACAGATTTCCTGATAAGTTGGTGCTACCTTTTCTGTAATATAAAATATATATCATTTGATCTTTGCCTATATACATGAGTTCAGAAGTATTGAGCTTGAAAAGGAAATTCACCAACTTACATGCTCCAATTGAGAATAGCAACAAGGATGGCAGAAGGATTCATTTTTATTCATTTATTAAGATGTTTATTTAACATATCTAATGTGTTTGTATAACTGAGATCAACAGTAGATTGGAGGTATGAATAACTAAAATAAAGAGTTACTGCATAAAAAACCTCAGTCTGGAAAAAAATGCCTCGTTGGAATAAAAAAGAAGGTTTGTTAACTAGCAAGAACCAGTGACAAAGAGGTTGGATTAATCATTTCTTGAAGTAGAATGCCTTACAAAATAGAAACAGTTATAAAAAGAGTTATCTCTAATTTCTTAGCAGGCTATTGAGTATAGTTCGGCAATAGACCTCAGGGAGCAGTTAGATTTAATGTCACTGTGATTTTGTGAAAATGTTATATTGACTCTAAATTTGAAATGATAAAACTATTCTGTTATACTATAAATAACTATAAACATATACATACATTGTCAAAAAGCCTTTAGTGTTTTTTTTTAATTGCCTCATTCTTTTGTTTGATGCTAGATTTGTACGACGGCTGATGTATTTTTACAAGCCTAGCAGTAAATTGTATGCCAATCTAGATCTGGATTATGCAAAGTCAAAACAACTCACAGTTGTTGGTTGCCAATTTACTGAATTTCTCCTTGAATCTGAAGAGGTAAAATTGATTTTTTTTTAAGCCATAATTAAGGACTGGCAGATTCCTGTTTAACATACTCTAAATGCAAAATCATACCATTTTTACCAGGTTTAGCAAAAGTGGAAATATTTAAATGGAAGTATTTAATTCTGAATCTTTAAAATTCAGTAGTAAATGCAGCTTAATCTTTGGGCAAAAATAGAATTCATAAGATGTATTGTTTATTCTGGGTCACAGTGGAAAATGTAATATAAAAGATATTGGTAATGTTCTGCTTCAGTAAATAAATTAAAAACAAAAAGAGTGTAACCTGCCTAGAATCTTTTGGTGAAATGATTATTCCTCTTCTTAACTCTGCACTTCAGGGGAATATAAAATAAGCCTAATTAAATGGTGCCTGATTAATTAGGTTTTCCACTCAGTCTGACTGCTTGTCAATTAATAATTCCGCACTTTCTGTTTTAATACTGGAGGCAGTACAATATTTTGGAACAAACACATTAATTTAAAAAATAAGTAATTAATGCAGACCAGTCAATCCCGAAGTTTATTAATCAAAACACACAAAACAGAAATTGCAGTCAGTTCAGAAACAAAATGCTAGTTATACCTCCTGAGACTTGCCTTATTTGGTACATTAGCCAAGTAGTTCATGGCTTTCATGCTTCAGAAGATGCATTTTTAGAGATAATTGTGCATTTAGAAATTAAAATTTAAAAGGTGGCATGGTTTTGAGAAACTGGCCTGACCTGCTTCAGGATATTGAGTGGAAGTGATACATGGGTCAATCAACGTGCCCTTTTGCCCCTCAGGAAGGAAGACAGGAAGGAAAGAAGGAAGGAAGGCAGGTGCAACAAAAGGTAGATACAGACTTAACAGTTGTCTAAAGTTTTTACATGTTTGCCTTTTGCATTCCTAACCTTCTGTGATGTGCAAAAGGTAATCAAAATTGCTTGCTCTGGTTCCTTTTTTGCTTGATTTTCTTTGGCAAAACTCACTAACTTGCAGAAGAAAGCAGCAGAAAATTAAGTTCAGTTCTGTCAAATCCTGGCCTTGACTTGCCACTTTCTCTTTCCATTGTTAGCTCTGGAAAAACTTGGACTGCCTGTGGATTGTTTATATTTATTACTGCCATAATCCCCATAGGAATGACTTTCAATTTATGTCAAGATCATTTGAGGGCATTATCAAGACTGACTGTCTCCACATTTCACTTGTAGTCTAAATTTCGTAAAAAAAAATTTCCTGTCATTGTCACATACATTTTTTATATTTTTTCTATATTACATGTCCTTTAATTTAAGCGTAATTTTTAAAAATCATTCAAGTTACAGAAATTTTACAATAAATATTTTCCTTTGGTTTTACCTTTCTAGGAATTCAGCAGTTGTTTGTTTTATACCAAGAAAAGTTGTAAATATATTGTGTTTTTTCATTGAACAAGGAAAATCTTGCTAAAAATAACCTGAATAAAGTTTTTGTTCTTTCCTTTTAAAGCAGGATGGGCATGGCTACCTTGAAGAGTTAGTAAGAGATATTGTACACTGGCTTAACATTTCATCTGGAATGAAACCAGAACGCAGTCTCCAGAACAATGGGTTACTTAACACTCTTAGTCAGCACTACTTCTTATTTTTTGGTACCCTCTCCTGTCATCCCCATGGAGTGAAAATGCTTGAAAAGTGTAATGTATTTCAGTGGTAGGTATTCGGTTACAAAAATAGTTTTTGAAATATTAGGGTTGCAGAAACGTAAACATAGAAATTATCTTAATATGTCATAATTTCTATAGAACTGAATGTGTGGTAACTATAATTAACTGTGACTAGTTGATGTTAAGTTTTTACTTTTGGAGGAATAAGATTATTTTAGATTTTATTTGTAAAAATGTTGCACACAAATTACAAGCAATGTAAAGACTATTGAAGAAGATAAATATATTCATAATGCTTTCTAAGTAAACATTTCACATTTATAGAATGTAATTAGAATAAGCACTAGTCATTTCCTCTGGGAAAAAAAAAACATGGTGGAAAAATCAATATGCATTATTTCAGTTCCATAATAATATATAACATTGTTGGCAAGTAACTTAGGCAAAGTTATTCTTTGGCCCAAATAACTTCAAAATCTGACAGTGGCAGAGGCACCAATGGAAGAGCAGGAAAAGAAAAGGGATTTTTAAGATCAGTCTATTTTTCTTAACAAGGAACTTAGTTTCTTAGACTCTGCTTTTGTTATAGGTATATATCCATATCTTACTAGAATTCCATTCATTTTTTGTTCGTTTGTTTCCAGTCTCCTTAATCTGTGTTCCTTGAAGAATCAAGATCACTTACTCAAACTGACAGTTTCTAGTTTAGACTACAGCAGAGATGGTTTAGCAAGAGTCATCCTTTCTAAAATCCTAACGGCATCAACCGATGTAAGTGAAAGCCGGATTCATGTTTTCATGGTATGGTATAGAAGCTAAAATGATGAACTATGTTTGAATCCTTTCTCAGACATAACCTTGAAACTAACTTAGTGACTTGATTCAGTCACTTTCTCTCACCCTTCATACCTCTATGAAGGAGTGACCTGAAAGATGGTAAGAGATAAATATAATATTGCACATAAACCTTATAAAAGTAAGCTATTTATTTGTTTGTTTGTTTGTATCAGCTGATGGTGGTCTCATGAACACTGACATTCACCACTGCAAGAGAGGCCTTTGGTTCCCATTACCCTGGGGTTCTTTGAGACCTCCCAGAATATTACGCACCTTGCTCTTGGTGTGATCTTGGTTAGTTGACCACTCCTGGGGAGGGTAACAACAGTATTGAATTGTCTTCATTCTACATGATCTGCCTGACAGTGGACAGGTGGAGTCCAGACTCTTTGGAAATAGTTTTGTACCCTTTTCTGCCCTGGTGAGCATTAGCAGCTGTTTTCCAGAGGTCCTCAAAAATATTGTTTCTTCGAGCCATAGTACACTTCCACATACCTATGTCGCGAAAATCAAACTTTGATAGTGAACACCCACAATTCTGTTCTTTAAATAAAGCAAGACCTCCCACACTCATACCTGATTATCATCCCATTGATTAAAACACCTCACTTTAATTTCCTTTCAAATGAACTGATAATCCTAGAGGTTCACATACTTTTGCCACACACACATCTGTAGCTCTGGATCATTTTCCTCAGTAAATAAATGAACAAGTATAATGTTTTTGATTCATTTGTTTAATTGGATTATCTTTATCCAGTTTTAGGACTTGTGGAGAACAGACCATGTTTTAGGTCATATTTATGCAGAAATATTGAAAATTCAAAGGGGTTCACAAACTTTTAAGCACCACTATACATATACACATTCAAATACTCATACATACCATATTTAACCCAAAGAAATCTGATTTTGAATTTAAAATCTCTCCCCCCACAACCTGGAAGGTTGATAGACAATGTTTGTTTGTTTCTTTTACTGTAGTCACAACAAAACTAAGATTATCCCTCCCCCTCCCTATTTAAGCAGAATATTGGGGCAGGGGACCTAATCTTTCTAATCTTTCTTTCAATTAAATACACTATATTTGGGGAAAATGTTATGGAGGGCTGAGGCTTATAGATCAAGTAGACTCCTAACCCTGTTTTTGATTTGGCATTAACATTAACATTGATTGTATAATGACATTTTGTATATGTAAAACCAGTTCCTTACCATGTTCCATTTTGGGTCTTCCATTAATCTGTTTTTTTTTTCTTTCATAGAACTGTAGGTTATATGCTACAAAACACCTCCGAGTACTGCTGAGAGCCAATGTGGAGTTCTTCAGTAATTGGGGAATTGAGTTACTTGTCACACAGCTTCATGACAAAAATAAAGCCATTTCTTCTGAAGCACTTGATATCCTTGATGAGGCATGTGAAGACAAAGTGAGAGCTTTTCCTTGTTCTTTAGTTGGTGAAGAAACCTAGCTTATTTTTTTATCTTAATTCTACTTAGGGGGTTAATGTAATAAAAATAAAAATTATTATAATATATGCTGTGATGTGTTGTGATGACTTTTCCCAAATGTAATTCCAAAAAGAATAAAATGCAGAACTTAATTTAGGAGAAGCTTGAATTATTTTTCTTTTAACTTAGATTTTTCAAGGCTGGCATTTTTGAAATAGGAAAGAAGCACAAATATTCAATAAATATAACTTAATATAGGCAGCTTATGAAAATAATGCTTAGATTACTATATATATATAAACTGAATGTGGATGCCTATCTTGGAATTTATCTTGGGGTTTATCCTTGCTTTTCTCTTTTGGCTATTTTTTTGTCTTTAATACTGATTTGGATTTTGTTATTATGCTTTTCTTGATGTTATAAATACTGTAGAATAATTAAATAAAATTAAATATGCAGATTTGATTTAGATTTTGAATTGATGAGGGAGATTTCCAGTATGACAATACGTGAAATGGAAGTTACTATCTCCTAAACTTAACTCCATCCCTCTTCTTTTTTTAGGCAAATCTTCATGCCCTCATTCAGATGAAACCAGCACTTTCTCATCTAGGAGACAAGGGTTTGCTTCTGCTGCTAAGGTAAACATTTAATGTTTACTTCAGATGAAAACAGGCTAGTTAACCTGCATTTGCTCTGTAAATATTTATAAACTGTGGTTTGTTTTTTTGTTTTGTTTTGTTTTCCAGATTTTTATCAATCCCAAAAGGGTTTTCCTATCTAAATGAGCGAGGCTATGTAACAAAACAAATGGAGAAATGGCAGAAGGTATTTAATTAATTGGAATCACTCTCTCAAACTCAGTGTTATATGTGCATCAACTATTATGCCAAGGTTTTATCTGAGCCAAAGCCTACCTTGTTAGCAGCAAACATTAGGGACACAAGTGCCTAATGCCTTGATTTATGAAAAGGAATATAGTGCATATATGGAAATTTTGCAAGTACACCCTAAGAAGTAGCATTAATTATATTTAATATTTAAGTTTCTTCAAAATTGAATTTTTAAAAATGTTTTTTTTTAAATACCATTCCTAGAGTATAATCTTCTAGACCAGTATTTCTTGAAGTGTGGTCCTAGAACCCCTGGGGGTCCCCCAAGACCCTCTCAGGGGTCCACAGAATCAAAATTATTTGCCAGCCTATGTTGAAAAATAATACTGTATTAAAATCCCATCAAACAATTGTGAGAAGCGGTAGCAGCAGCAAATGTGTCAATTTTAATTTTTAATATGATAAATATTAATAAATACGATCTGTAGAAACAAAAGGTCTTTGGGGTCCTTCATAATTTTTAAAAGTGGGAAGAGTTAGAGAAAAAGGTTTTAGAAACAATGTTCTAGACTGTTCTGATTGGCATAGGGCAGCCCTAAGCTGTTACTTTTTATAGTAGTTTAATGATAAGTGGCCGTGAAATTGATACAGTAGCCTCTTCCTGTCTTTGTCTAGTTATGCTTCTATATTAACAAAGTAAAATGGGCTTGAATGACCCATGCCTACTTGGATTTGTTAAGGTTGCTAAGTTGCAGTACAATATTTGGCATTGTTCTTCTAATCCATTGTGAAGTGCTGCTTTCATATATAAATGGCTTGTGAAAATTTAAAGATTAATCTTGCAGACACTGGAACTGTGGTTTTCCTTTAAAAACCAGAATTTTTGTTCAGTGGGCCAAGGTGTGCATAAACAAATAAGAAAACTGACTTCTCTTGTTTCAGGAAAGGACAGATTTTAGTTGTTTTGCAAGAAGTAAGGTTTTAGATTTGTTTGAAGATAAATCATCTGTAAACTTGTTTGGATAGGAGAAGGATAGTCAGGGATAAAGAGAAAGCAATTTTTAAAAGTTACGCATTGACCCATGTAATGGGTTCTTTTTTAAACTGTAACCAATTTGATTGACACAGACTCAGAAGTTCACCAAAAGCGCATAATACTTCTCCACAGCCTACTCTTCCACAACCCACATCCTCTACATTAAATTAATCCCATCCAAAACTGTCTTTCATTAGAAGAAGTGGTTACTGGAATTACACTAACATTTCCACATAACCTGTAGTATTGCCCTACTGAAAGAGGCTGTGTGGATTCAATAATAGAAGAGCCTATTCTTTGATTACATTGCAGGATGAACATCTTGCTTTTTGAATGAATGGGAATGGAGATACACTGTCATTGAAGGCAACTCTTCCACTTGGTTATAGAAAAGAAATTCATAACCAAGAACCAAATAGGATATTTGTATAGGATAGCCAAACTTATTTTGTAAGATTGTGAACCTGATCCAATGGGAATTACATTAGATTGATCTTGCTCAATCTTCTTGTCGCTCACAGAGAGATATTTTTGGCAGCATTTTGATTATAAAATCTGTCTCCAGTGAGTATTTTATCATAATGGAATTATAGAACATTTCTTACTTGGATAGCGTGTTTATAAATACAAATATTGCTAGAGAAAATTTTTTTTTCTGAAAATCTCTATATTCCATTATATCTTAGGAGTACAATTTAAAATATGTCGAGCTGATAGAAGAGCAATTAAATGAAGCACTTACTACGTACCGCAAACCTGTTGATGGTGATAATTATGTTCGTCGGAGCAACCAAAGGTAAAAGAATATTGACTGATTTGTTAAAGCAATGCCTATAGTTACGCACTTGGTTTTAAGATTGTCATAATTAATTAAGTGCAATCCGACCATTTTTCTTCCCCACAGATTGCAGCGGCCACATGTCTACCTGCCAGTTCACCTCTATGGCCAATTGGTACACCACAAAACAGGCTGTCATCTGTTGGAAGCTCAGGTGAGGAAATTTAATGTAACTGATTCAAATAAGTTAATATTAAATAAAATGCAATATTCTTTTCATTGTCTTTAGCATTTATTTGCCTATTACTGGTTCAGAAGCGTGTAGCGTAAGCCATGCTACAAGGCAGTTTGGCTTGGCTTTCACAGCATTGGCCCCATATGCAAATCAGGAATTGTGAAATCACACATAAGGTTAAACAATTGCCAGTATTCCTGCACACTCCCTCTCTTTTTAACTAGTGAGAGTAACTGTTGAGGTGTATATAGAATTGATTCTTGAGGTTCTTGCTTCTTCATGCTTGGTATTCTAAGCCCCATTTCTTTAGTCCATAGAAGTAGGGAGGTGTCCTGCATTGCAGTGACACTGTTTTGCCTCCACCAAGACATACTATCTTAGAGTTCCTGTCTATGCCTCTTCTAAATTATAAATGTATCCTTGTTTTTTAGGATTTGTTTGTATTACAGACAAATTGTAGAAGGTAAAGGTAGTGAGAGATTCATGCTATAATATTAATGGTGCACCCTCATCAATTCTTAAAAAATGTGTATTTTCCAGATGTTATTTTACAATTACCTTTTCTTCTTAAAATTTACTTTTGTTATAATACACAAAAAAGAAAATGAGGAAAGAAAAGCGGTATCAACCAATAAAAATAAGGAAAGAAAACAAATGAAAAACTCCAGTACCACCGCTGCTACCACCATTCGCACATGGTGAATGGTTATTTTAAAATCCTTTGTTTTTCAGTATTGCAGCTGGCTGGCATTAATAACCAATCTCATGACCACCTGCAGTTTTATTACAATTTAGTATATTTTGAGAAACCCTTTTCTGCAGCTTTGAAAGCATCTAATGCATATATTTCATTCTTCTTGGAATGGAACATTGTAATCTAAAGAGGATGCATTCTTAATTGATAATTATTTATAAAAAACACTTACAAGGCAATTTCATCCGGAGCTTTTCCCACATGGCATGGCAGTGAGATGGATTTAGAGAATTTAAAGGAAAACATTGAATAGTCAGTATTGTTTACCTAGGTGAACAGCCCTTTTCAGTTGATTGTATATAGTTTTGGAAGACAAACAAATTGGTTATTCCTATTCTTGCATTTTGCATCTCTGTGGTCGCTGGGAGTTGAAAAGGACTTGATGACACATAATCAGTCAATCAATCAATCAGTTCTTGCATTTGCACTTGTATAACACTAAGCCAAACTTGAATTTCTGGAAGTTATGCTCTTCCTAGGATGAAGTGTTAGTCTCACGTAGATCTCCAGATAAGGAATGTCATAATTGGAAGTACTCAGTTTGTTTTTTCATGCATGCATTATTTTGCATTCGTTCTCTGTTCTACACTATGATAAAATGCAAGATGCTGCTATGGAGCTACTATGATAACAGTGTGAAATGGTAGTAGATTGCACAAGAGATATGCGTGTTAAGCTCAGTTTTCAGCCTTGTTAAACATCTTAGTTTTGAAGCGATTCTGAATGAAGGAAAAGGATGAAGGATGTTGGGAAGCTTACATGTTCCCCAGCCCCTCTCACATGAAATGAAACATTCTGTTTAGTAAATATTTTATTGACATTCTCAGTTTAACATATTATCACGTTTTATATTGTAGTATTCTTAAAGAAATTATTAACAATATAAAATACTTTGTTTTTAAATTATGTGACAAAATGCATAAATACTTACACTTTATAATGAGCACTGCTGTAATCTGGAAATAGAATATAACAGTTGATAAATAATTTAAATCTGATATATAAATTACACTGTGATTGTTCTTTTTGTTGTTTAGAGTATTGTTCCTGACCTGAGTTACACTGTCCGTTCCCCTATGCTGGAAAAATGGGAGGGGATTAAGCAACTAAAAGCTGCTCTTTGGGCACTGGTTAGTTAAAAAATATTTACCACATTTTTTAATATATATTTCTACAATGAAATATAAATCAGTAGTTACCAGTTTGTTTCTATTCTAAAAATGTTTGCTAAATTGCTATAGAGAGGTAAAATAACATGCGAGGGTTTGTTTATATTCAGTTTTTCTACTGCAAATGATGCTTAAAAAAGCTAATAATAAAATGTTAAATAATTAAAATAAATGATGAATGAAATACACAGATAATATATCTGTATTTAGACAGACAAATGAACTTGCAATAAGGCAAAAGCTTTTAAAAATATAATTGTCAGCAGAACTGTATTTATACTTCTAGCTTAGAATCTTAACTGGAAGAGTTTAGGACTTTGGAACAGTCATTAAGAAGGCCTCTTCTCATATTCCTCTAAGAGGTTTTGGAGGAAGGCATATAAATTATAAAAAATAAATAATAATTTGGGAGAATAATTAATTTTAAATTATGTCCAGCAACGATAACAGCAACCTTCATGGATTCTCCTTTTTGCAATATTCAAGCCTCAGAGATTACATATGATCTATGCTTAAACAAACCAATAAATAAACATTGTCAAAATTTGGCACCAGCCATTGAACATTAGTAACCCTATGTTCTGCTTATTTCCAGTGGGAAAAATAAAAGGTTTCTTTAGCTTTCAGATTGGTTTAACTTACCTGAATTACAAAGAAAAAATTAGGGCAATATTGCAAAATGTCATTGGTCCGTCTCCTGAAAATAATAGAAAAACAACATAGTAGCTGGCTGCCAAAATTATTTTGCCATCATCTTGAGTAACACAATTTTTTCTTGGTTAATAAATCATGGATTTCACACTATTAGTAATCAAATTTACTATTCTAATCACGTGACTTTGGGCTGTTGATCTGAGAAAAAAACTGTTGATCTCAGAGTTGAATCTTGAGTATAGTAAATTGTACTCTGTGGGTTGGATCTAGAGGTTCCCATTACTTCTACAAAGGAAGACTCCTCTAGTGGAAGAAGGGAATTTTACAATTCTGTAATACTAACCAGATTAACCATATTTTTCTATTGGTGAGAGTAATGAAATGGGTTAAGGAGATTTTAAAAGTTATATTCCTTGCGTAGTTGAAAAATAGACTATGATAAAGCGATGTCAGTACTTTTAAAAGAATATCCATTGGGGAGACAAATTGATCCTTCTGTAAGTAGAAACAGTATAGCATTCATGCAAAATCTCTTTAAGTCTATAAGTTGCTATTTTATCTTTTGTCAACCATGCCTTGATCTTGTATTTGTTCACAAATATTTATATTTAAGGGAAATATTGGATCTTCAAATTGGGGGTTGAATTTGCTTCAAGAGGAAAATGTGATACCTGATATAATGGCACTTGCCCAACATTGTGAAGTCCTGTCTATTAGAGGGTAAGTAGAACATGAAAACTGGAAATGCATTGTAAAGAGTCTGTGTGTATTTTATTTTGTCTGGGTATCATTAATATACAGTAGTTAATTTTTTATGAACTGATAGAGTTGGAAGGGACCTAAGAGGTCAACTTTCTGCTCAGTGCAGGATCCAGTAAAGCATCTCAGATAGATGACCATCTAGCCTGTTTGAAAGCCTCTAGCAAAGGAGAGCTCACATTTCAATTAAAATATAATCATGGCCTGAGGCCAGTACCATGGAGAACTAGCCGCTTCTTCTTGTAGCCTGTTCCATTGGCTGACAATTTGTACAGTCAGTAATTTCCTTTTGATTCCTAGCAATAACCTGCTTCCTTGTATATTTAATCTATTGATTCTGGTCCTGCCCTCTGAAGCTATAGAGAATAAGTCCACTCCTTTTCCTGTGTGACAATTCTTGAGATTAATATCTTCCCTTAGTCATCTTTTTGGTAGGCTAAATATACCCATATTCTTTAACTATTCCTCATTTCAGCCCACTGCTCAAATTGCCTAGATCTTTTTTATTTTTCTTTCTTTCATCTTGAAGTATTAGCTACCCCTTCCAAATATATGTCATTTGCACACTTTGTGTCTCCTAAATTTCTTTCTAAAAGTTAATGAAAAAATTGTTGAACACACAGGGCCCAGGACAAAGTCCTGTAGTATTCCGTTGGATACTTCTGTCCAAGCTGGACTGAATTCTCTTAACTGCTGGCTACCAAGCAAAGTCATGCTTCCTTGTATTTTCCACAGAGTTGCGTGCTGTCTGCCCACTTTTGTAACTTAGAGCAGTACTGCTTGTCAGTAACCACTTATAAATCAAGCTGGTGTTGTGTTCTCAGTCTGAAACAGGATACCTCCCCTCTCAGTTAATCTAATCACTCTTACTTCTTCAACCAATCCTTCCCAGTTGGTGAGGATTAGGTCTAGGATAACAGATCCCTTTGTTCTTTCTTCTACTTTTTGACAAATGCAATCACCAAGAGACGATAAAAATTGTTAGATCTTTGACAGAGTTAAGATTCCCAGCAGATATCAGGATAATTAAAATACCATATTGTTAATGTTACATTGCTTTATGAAAAACTCATCATCTAATGCAGAATTCAGAAGATAGGCCTTATCTCTATCTTCTACTTACTTTTGCTTTTTTCTCTCCTTTTATTCTTACCTAAATACTTTCAACAGAATTACCATGCTCTGATTCCTGAATTTATCTGCAAAGATTTTTTTTTTCTTTACAGACAGTGCAATGTCTTCCCCTCTTTTACTGATTGAGTTACTTTTGAATAAATTGAAGCTTTCTAGTGCTGTGTGTCATCCTAGCAACCTTAAGTGATGCACATCCCATCATACTGATTGATTGATCATATTTATATGGCTGCACATCTCATATAGCATATTCTGGGTGGTGTACAAAACAATCATAAAAACAATTTTTAAAAATATTCAAAAAGTTAAAAAAAATATTGTAAAAGGCTGAGAGAGAGCATCAGATTATAAACAATGGAGCCACCTAATCAAATTATTGTTCCCTTGCGATCCTCAGGCCTTTTGGCACAACCAGGTTTTAAGAGACTTCTGGAAGATCAGGAGAGATGGGGCCCAGCTCACCTCAGGGGATGATGTTCCACAAGGTGGATGCCAAAAGGCTTGTCTCCTGGGTCCCATCAGATGTAACTCCTTAACAGATGGGATCTGCAACATACCTCTTCTGCCAGATCTAATGGGATGGGAGATGTAATTGGGAAGAGGCGGTCCCTCAAATAACCCAGCCCCATGCCATGAAGGCTTTAAAGAGCAAAACCAGCACCTTGAATTGGACCCGCAAGCAAACTGCTAACCAATGCAGTTTGCAGAGTAGCAGTATAATGTGTGCTGCTCTAGGGGGACACATAACTGCCTGCACTGCCACATTCTGTATCAGCTGAAGCTTCTGGATACTCTTCAAGGGCAGCCCCAAGTACAGTGCATTACAGTGGTCTGTTCACCCAGGAGGTGACCAGAGCATGAATGATTGTGAATAAAGCCTCCTGATCCAGGAACGGGCACAACCGGCACACAACATGAAGCTATGCAAAAGCCCTCCTAGCCACAACTACCACCTGTTCTTTGAGGAGGAGTCATGAGTGCAGGAGGACCCTCAAGTTGTGCACCAGATCTGTTTGGGCAGTGCAACCCATTCAGCACCAAAGATGGAATAGTCCCAGAATCAGCAGGCCCAAAAACCTAAAGCCACTCAGTATTGCCAGGATTCAGTTGCAGCTGTTGTTCCCCATCCAGACCCCCACTGCCTTCATGCATCAGGATAAGGCATCAGCAGCATTACTTAATTTGCCGGGGCAGAGATGTATAATTGGGTATCATCAGCCTACTGATGATACCTCACCCCATGGCAATGGATGAGCTCACCAAATGGCTTCATGTAGATATTAAAGAGGAGTGGAGAGAGCACCGAACCCTGTGGCATCCCACACAGTAGGAGCCAAGGGTGGGATCTCTTCCCCCAATCACCAATGACTGGTATTGACCCTGGAGAAAGGAGAACCAGCACCATACAGTGCCATCCACCCTCAATCCCCAGACCCATTCCAGAAGGATTGAGGGTGGTCCATGATGTTGAAAGCCGCTGAAAGACCAAGCAGAGCTAGGATGGATGCACAACCGGCATCCTGCTCCCACCAGAGATTATCTAAAAGCATAGCCAATGTTGTTTCTGTCCCAAACCTAGGCCTGAATCCTAACCGAAAGGGATCCAGATAATCCGCTTCATCTAGGGTCCTCTGGGGCTGTTGTGTAATCACCTTCTCCACCCCTTTCATAAAAAGGGAAGATTAGATACTAGACAAAAATTGTCCAGTATAGTGGGGTCCAGCAATGGTTTTTTGAGGAGGAGACAAACTGAGGCCTCCTTAAGTGGTGAAGGAGCAACCCCTCATCCAAGGAAGTTCACCACTGCTAGAACTCACACAACACCCTAGCTACGTTCCTAGTTCCTTCACTGTTCTCTACTAAGGCCTCATAGCCTCCAGAGATTCTTTGTCTCTTCCAGCTGTTTCATTAGGACCCACTTTACCTTTACAGTACTTCGTTAAAAAAATGTCTGTTTTAAAGGGCACCTCACAACCATAAAAAGAAAATGAAAGTTGGAAATACAGGTAGTCCTTGGCTAATGATGGTAACTGAGACCAGAATTTCTGTCGCTAAACGATGCGGTCATAAAGCACAATGTCATGTGACTGTATCACTTAGTGACTGCAATCCTGACAGTCATCGTTGCCATTGTTAAGTGAGAATCATGGGTCATTAAGCAGGCAGCTCCTTGCAACTTCCTGTCGGCTTCCAACAAGCATAGTCAATGGAGAAGCCAGCTGGATGTCGTGAGTCTTGGGTGGCTTGCAAACAGGCTGGTGGGTGGGTAAGTGGCCTGGTGCAAGTGCAGCCGGGCTGGGGGTGGCTGCTACTGTGGGTGGGAGGGCGTGCAAGCTGTCCTATGTTCCACTGCTCCTGCTTCCCCCAACTGACCTTGGCCGTTGTCTTCCTCCCGCTGCTGACAAGGTGTGCCCAGCCTGGCCCTTCATGAGGTAGCTCCTGGCCATGCAAGGCTTTCTTCCCGAGATCTCATGTGGCCTTCCTGAGCCCTCGCAGGGTTTCCTCATGAGACCTCAGGAAGAAGGCCTCGTGTGGCCAGCAGCTACGACATGAAGAGCCAGGCTGGGCACCCCTCAGTAGCAGCGGGAGGAAGACGATGGCCAAGGGCAGTTGGGGGAAGCAAGACAGCAGGGGCTGCAGAGTGCAGGGGGCCAAAAGGGCAGAGATGGGGGGAAATAGGTGGATAGGGGTTGTTGAAGCACACCCTGCAGTCATAAATGTGGGTGGGCTGCCACGTGCCCGAATTTTGATCATGTGACCACAGGGGCACTCCAACAGCTATAACTTTGAGGACTGGGCATAAATAGAGCCAGTTTGGTCTAGTGGTTAAGGCACCAAGCTAGAAAGCAGGAGACCGTGAGCTCTAGTCCCACCTTAGCCATGAAAGCTGGCTGGGTAACTTTGGGCCAGTCACTCTCTCTCAGCCCAACTCACCTCACAGCGTTGTTGCTGTGGGGAAAATAGGAGGAAGGAGTATTAGGTATGTTCACTGCTTTGAGTTATTTATAAAAATAATAAAGGTGGGATAAAAAAAAATATACCATTCCTTCAGTCCTGTCATAACTTCAAATGGTCACTGAATGAATGAATTGTTAAGCAGGGAGTACCTGTAGCAATTTGTTTAATCTCATGTATTTTAAGTCTCACTTGAAAGCAAATTTTCTGTGTGTGGTAGTCATTACAGTTATGCAAAACATTATACTTTGAAGTATCTCAGAGGTGTGGAATTACATGAAGCATCCCCTCCCAAGTGCAAAACAGAAAGTTTTAAGCGATTTGGACGGAGTCAGAGCTTAAGCACAGTTGCTCTGTTTCAAGTTCTTAATGTGTCCAGATTGCTTAAAACAGCCCAGTTCATGCTCAGAACATTGTGTAAAGTTTTGTCCTTGAACCTTTTTAGAATGAAACATTTTGTAAACCCCTTATGGAAATCATGCTTACATCTTCCTGACCTTTTTTGTATTTTATTGTTTCTTGTTTACCATCTATTCTACCTCCAGTCTGTAATAATATGGGAGATAAATAACTGAAGTCTGTGAGCCAAGCAATTAAACAGTAAATAGTTTAACTGTTTAACAGTAAATAGTGAAAACAGTTATTCATTCAGGTGTAATTTGGCAAAGAAAAAAAGGGGAAATAAATTATTTAAAGCTATTGATATTATTCCCCATGTATTTAATAGTTCTGTATTTTTATTGCATTAAAAACTTGAATACTGTAGCAATGTTTGGAGTGTCTTCTTGGGGGCTACACTGAATATTTTGGGGATCCATAGACAACCCTGGGACAGGAAATTCAAAAGATACAGAGAAAACCTTTTTCTATAGTACAACTACATTGCATTCCCATTTAATTTAAATATGATAGTTTTTCATTTTACTTTTGTTTTGTAAACACAGGACTTGTGTCTATGTGCTTGGCCTAATAGCCAAAACAAAGCAAGGTTGTGATATTCTGAAGCATCATAATTGGGATGCAGTAAGACACAGTCGTAGGCAGCCTTGGCCGGTAGTCCCTGACGATGTGGAGCAACTCTGCAATGAACTCTCTTCTATTCCCAGCACACTTAGCTTGAACTCTGAATCTACCAGTTCAAGACACAACAGTGAAAGTGAATCTGCACCATCAAGTAAGCTATTTGGCAACACTAGTAGCTAACAAATGTTTTGCTCTTTTTTCAGAAAAACATGTAGATTTTGAGGGTGACCTTTTTCTTTGCACGTACTTCATAAACTACAGTGTAGATTAGCTCATGCTAGCTCATAGGTCAATATATTCTCTTTTGCTTTCCTCCTGTTGAGCAGAGATTGCTTAGAATCATGTTGTAAGCCATCAACAGAGTACTTTAAAGCTAATTTGTAATTCTGGTTTATTGTGGACAAAGAACATATTTCCAAATTAGGTTATGCTAAATGATGCTTATTGTCAGTCCAGTCATAAATTAGCAAAGGGATGGGCACACTTTATGGTTGTGAGATGTAGTTGTTGGCTGGTGAATTTAGTTTGCTTGTTTTGCTAGTAGCAATCAGTAGTTCCTTGAGCTAGAAAGGCACCCAGATACACACCACTGTGAACTCATTTTTGGAAAGGATAGTTTAGTTTTTCAAGAACTTGAGATCAACATTAGTTCAGAAACCATATAATTAGCAGTTGCTTGCTTTTTAAGAAGTAAATTGCAAATGTGTGGCAGATCCAGATTGGGACCATGATACAAGAGCTAGTGGGACTTTCAACCTATGTTTGGGCTCCATTCTCAGCACAATTTACTTTTGAAAAATCATTTTTTCATTTGTTAATTATGTGATCAACATCAGAAATACATGAAAATATGGATCTCAAATGCATGTTTAAATAAGAACATTTACGTAAAAGTTTAAGTTGGTGAAGACAGTTTCATAAATAGTTGTCATAATTAATATGCTGAGGGGAGATCCAGGTATTATTGGAGGGGGGAATGTCCTAGGCTATAGGCCTAATTATAAAATGATATTGGTAAATGTTTCCTTTCAACTCCAGGAGATTGTTATATTCTTCTGCCTTTTATAATATAAGAAATCCCCCTACTTGTTGCTTTCATATAATATGCAGCTTTTTTGCAGAACTACCCTTAGTTATCCAAACTGTAATGGATCGAAAATATGAGCACTTGTTTTCATTTCAGGCATGTTCATCTTGGAAGACGATCGGATTGGCAGCACTTCTACTAGTACCTTTTTCCTAAATATCTCAGAAGATGCGGAACAGAATCTCTATGACCGTACTGGGCCCTTGAAGGATAAAGATCGCAATCCCTTCCCCTTTTTCTCCTCCCGCAGACTGGTCAAGAATCGCATCTTGAATTCTCTTACCCTACCCAATAAAAAGCAGAGGAGCAGCAGTGATCCTAAAGGAGGCAAGCTGTCTTCCTCAGAGAACAAGATGGGCTTAAGGCGAAATCGGACAGTAACAGAACCTTGCAGCAGCATGGATTTTACACGGGGGGATGACTTCACCCCAGTGTTCAAGGTTCCTAAAATTCACACTCTGAAACTAGAAACTTCATTTGTTGGGAGCAAGCACAGTGAAGATGCAGATAGTACCCCAAGTATTGGTGAGAATGACCTTAAGCTTCCCAAAAGTCTTGGCCATGAAAATCATAGGGAAAACACCAGCCGAGAGAGACTAATAGAAGTTACAACACAGACTCATTTCAAAAGTCGTAGTTTGAGTTTCAATACAGATACTACTACAAGTGGCATAAGTTCAATGAGCTCAAGCCCCTCCCGAGAGACTATGGGAGTGGACTCTACCAATATAGACACTGACTGTGGGAGCTTAAGTACTGTGGTGAGTACCAAGACTATTAAAACAATTCAGTGTTCAACCCCACAATCTAACCACCTCCCTCTGTCAAAATCAAATTCTGTCTCCCTGGTACCACCAGGGTCTTCGCACACGCTTCCCCGGAGAGCACAATCACTAAAAGCTCCTTCCCTTGCTACTATAAAAAGCCTAGCTGACTATAATTTTAGTTATACCAGTTCTCGAGATGCTTTTGGATATGCAACGCTGAAACGCTTACAACAGCAGAGGATGCACCCTTCTCTGTCACATTCTGAAGCCCTAGCTTCTCCAGCAAAGGATGTGCTCTTCACAGACACAATCACAATGAAATCTGGTAGTCTAGAGTCTCGACTAACACCCAACCGGTAAGTCTGTCATCTTCTGCTTTTCTTCCCTAAAATTGTGTTATCATGGGAGAGAAATTGTTTATAAGGAAATACTGTTCCCTTTATTGTCTTGGTGCATTTTGAGGAAGATTGTTTTTCAGGATAAAAAGTCCCCTCTCCTGAAGCAGCTGTAAGGGGTAAAGATGGTGAAGGGAGAATTAGCATGGCTTAAACCAGATAGAACAACTGTGTAATCATGGACAGGTGGATTCCAGTTTCAAGGCTGGGAAAAGACAGTCAAAAGTCCATTGACTTTAAAAGGTGAAAGGAAAAGGCATTAAGATTTAGATACCTAGGGTTTGATTTCTGTGTTTGGTAGCAGGCAGATCTTGTATATGTATATGCTGCCTTTCTTGTCTGCAGTGAAACAAATTATCTAGCAGTATGAAGTCCTTGAAGTTACTGCTGCTATCTAGTTCCTGAATGTGGAGTGGAGCTTCTGGAAAACCAGAGGTTTATAGTTAAAAAGGGCTTGAAGTCTGCTCCAACCTGAATAGCCTTGCTCATAATTCATTTTTGAATGAATTAATAATTTTGATAAAATGCTTTTCTCCAATGTTAGTAAAAGGTACAGTATTTGGAGTAGAATACCCTTCTTGATATTCTTTGCATTTAGGTTTTGAGCTGTTCTCTGATCATCTTGTTTTTTAGAGGCATTAATAGCTCATGATTCCAAGTGAATGAAGAATGAACTAGGAAAGTTGGGGATGATCCATGCTGGCTACAGGGGAGTGTTGCCTATATAGCAGAATTCTCCTGTGACATGTTCATAGTAGCAACTTGTGTGTGTCCACGTGTGTGTGTCAAACAGGCAAGGTGGTTGCAGCAGTGCTGTTGAAGGCCCTCCCTTTGTACATATGTGTGATGTCAGTGCACGTACCAAAGGAGTGTGGCTTGGTTTGTGCTGCTATGATCACCATCTTTTTTCTCATTTTGTCTCTCATAGTTGAGGTATACCTATGATGAAAATTACAGGCCTCTCTCATCTTTTTAAGTGGGAGAACTTGCACAGTTGGTGGCTAACTAAATACGTTTTTGCCCCACTGTACAACTGAAAAATAGTTTTACATATATGTGAATTTATCCAGTTTAGAGAAGGCTGTCATTATGTTCAGAGGAAGAAACCCTCTGGCAGGATGCTGAAATGGTTCAAAGGGGCAATGACAAACCTCCCCTTACAATTGTTTTCTCCCTACTTCACATCAACACCAATATTTTAAAAAAGAATAAATAAACTAAATAGCAGAAAGATGTTTTAATGACCCCCAGTCCTACAAACCCTTCCCCATGTCTTTATTTTCTCCTTTGGGCAAGGAATCCTTTTATGCATACTTAGGCAGGAAAGCATATCCTCCCTGGTTTGTTCCTGGGGGCCCAGTAAGCTGTGGCAGATGCAGACAATGCCAGGGATCCTGCAGAGCCAAGTAAGACCTCTGCACTGGACTATTCACGCAAATGCCAGTGTATACATATGTGGTGGTGGCTGCTAGGTGGGCTCAGGATCTTTCAGTTCTGGGGATATTGGTGGCTGAGAGGGACCACACGGGTGGACCTGGGAGCACTTTCTCTGCTTTGCAATATGGCCCCTGTCTCTCACTAGTGAGGAAAGATGCTAGGGGAAGCTACAGCACAGTTCTGTAGGCTGAGGCTGAGGGATATCAAAATTTATGGGAGAAGGAAAATACAAGAGGAAGCTGCAGCTCTGGTTGAGTAGCTGGGCAGCTCTGGGTGACAGGGAAAATCGAATAGGGACACATCTAAAGTAAGTATGTGGGTTATGGGGTGAGAGCATTTATGGGTAACTTACAGAGATCATAGCAGCATTGAGAAATAACAACAATCAGCCTCATTGTCTTTGGCAGATACTATATGTTTATCTGTGATTTCCATACATTTAACAAATAGTATGTTATTTCATAACCTGATCATAAATGGAAAAAGTAATAGTTCCTAGTTGTGTCATTCTTTAACTTAAAGGATTTTTTAAATTGTAATGTTAGGTGCAATTCTTTATGAAAATGATTAAAATTGAAATCCCACTCTCATCTAAATTGCTTGACTGACAATGAGCTTGTTACTCTTAAGTTCACAATGATGTATATGAAAATGTTGACAGCCTGCTTTGCTGATTAGATACTCTTTATAATTGTCTATCTCCTCAATAATTTGTTTAAATTGAATAAAGGATAAATATAAATTGTTTTGAACCGAGATATTAATGCTTTGCCAAATTATATTCAGTAATCAGAAAATACCTTCTCTTCCAACTTTTTAATAAGACAGTTTATTGTCACCTTTACTTGGCAGTAATGAATAAAAACTAAAAAATAATTGAATTTAGGAAGGGTTTTTTCAGTGTGTGATAACTGACCCTTAAACTGAAATCTTAACATTAGTTAAGTTTCAATCAGCCACTACCTCCTGATGAGGAGTAATTATCCCGGAATGATCATTTCAGTAATCAGATGGAATACTGAACTATTTTAAATACATTTGAACTGGTTCAGAATAATTGAACAATACTAACCAGTCTAAATTAGCATCTAAACTGAAATGAAACTAGAGAAGTAGGAAATAATAGGTGAACCTAAGCCAGAGTAGAACCCAAGTTTACTTCTTTAAAATTAAGATACTTTCTAAATAGCAGTAGGGCCTCTACGCAGTGCAGTGTGTGCTTCAATTGTCCTAAATAATTTAGGAGCAAATAAATATTAAGCAATATATTGTTTATGTACTTTTTTTTTTTTTTTGGTTCCTTCAAGTCCTGGTGACTGCAAGGACTAGTCCCTATAGTTTTTGTGGCAAGTTTTGGAAGTGGTTTACTATTATCTTCTTCCTAGGGCTGAGAAAGAATGACTAAACCAAGGTCACCCAGCTGGCTTCATGCCTAAGGCAGGACTAGAACTCATGGTCTTCTGGTTCTAGTCTGGTGCCTTAATCACTACACCAAACTGGCTCTTGCACTAAAATTAGCTATGATATTTTAAGATATTGTGCTGATTATAATAAAGCCAGGACTGTGATTCTAAGTATGTTCCTTCTATGCTATTATAGGTTCATGAGAGCTTTAAGCTATGCATCATCTCTAGATAAAGAAGATTTATTAAGTCCTATAAACCAAAATACACTGCAGCGTTCTTCTTCTGTTCGTTCCATGGTATCTAATGCTACCTATGGTAGCTCAGATGATTACATTGGACTTGCTCTCCCAGTTGATATCAATGAAATATTTCAGGTATGTGCACAATATTTTTGTCTTAAGTGAGGGCATATTAATATTAACTACTGTGATGTTATTCTGTATGAAACTCTTAATTTCATCCCTAGTAATATATAGAGCAATTTACTACACTTAGAGGAATATTGTTGAATGTTAAATACTTAACACTGTTTTCTATAGCTACACAGCTCACGTATTCCCAGAAATAACAACTGTTTCTAAAACTTGATCTGTATAATTTTTCACTTTAAAATATTTCAGGTAAAGGAAACCCCATATTTCCAGAAGAAAACTACACCTTCATTTGATGATCGGGGCACTCGAGTCTTTGCCCAGGATGCCACAGGTACATTTCCTTTTCTATTCTCTTTTGGCTTATATGGTTACCCGCCACCTTTGCTAAGCTATCCTCTTTTAGGAAGAAAGAGGTTATTGCCAACTGCTGATTTCTAAGCCCTGTGATTTGAAATATGACAGTCATGCTCCAAATCACAGACTTCAGGACTCTTATTTCCAAGGGTATATTCAAAGCATATTGTGGTTTATACTCAAAAGGATCTGTCTTCATACAGGTAAAAAATGAGACATGGGGAGGTAATCCATGGTAGGACATTTCTCTATAGGGTCTTAATTTTGCATATCTCACAAAGTCAGGATTGTATCACACTACCAGAATATGCCCCAGTAGAAGCCTGGCTTGCCTGAAACGTTCTCTGGAATCACTTGATAAATGAAGGATTGGCAACACTTTTTTAGTGTTGGGCAAGACCCATGGAAATGTGTAAACAGACATTTATTGCAGTGTGTTTACTTTATGTGGCTACAGCAAAATTCCCTTTAACAACTGAAATTTACCCAGATGTGGGCTTATTTTCTGCATGCCTTAAAAATATTACTTATAAGAATGAATTGCAGAAGGTGCTATTGTATTGCCTTATTACATTATAGTTTCTCTTGCTTAACAAAATACCTCCAGGTTTGCCATGTGGGTCTGCTGAGCTTGTAAAGAGTCCCTTCCAGATGCTTCGTCAGCAGATAAGTCTTACGGAGATCATGAACACAAGTCGTTCAGATGCCTCCCAGTTCCTAGAAAACATGGAAGACACCGGACTCCAAGAACACACTGAAGATAATTGTCTCTATTGTGTTTGTACACACATCCTAGATTATCAGCATAATAACAAACTGAACTCTGCATATAGTCACACAGGTTAGTGCCACTAGGTCTGCTTCAGTCAGACAACTCTATCCTGACCTGCAGTAATTAGGACATGGAAGCTTTGTCCATTCTGCTTCAGTTTTCTGATGCTGTTTCAGACAGAATTCCAAAATTTATTTCATAATCTTGAAAGCTAGAAATCTTCGTTGAATGCTTAACTTCTCAGGGTGGCAAATCCTATGGAAATTAACATTTTCTCGTTGTTGTTGTTGTTTTGATGCCTACAGTGCCAGCATCATAAATTCATCATCAAAATACTTTTCTTTTTCTTGCATTCTTATCCAAACAGTAATTCATATTTGGTTGGATTGTTTCTAACCTATTCAGTTCTGTATCATGTTTTTTTTTCTTCTATGTAAATTATGTATATCATGCTGGGGTTTTTTTCTTCTATGTGAATTATTCCATTCATCTTATATCAAACTTTATCAGAATTTTCAGACATTCCTTATTCAGACTGGTGTGGAAAGGCTATGCATAATCATTTGGATGTGGTTTCACATTCCTCGAAGTTTTCTGGAATTTCAGGATGTAGTGATGCTGTATCCCATGGATCAGCTAGTAGTACCAAGAGTACTGATCTCATCATGGGTGAGTGATTTTTCATAAAGTTTGCTTCTGACAAGCTGTTGTTGCGTGGATGTTGGATGCTTTCACCAGAAATCCCAGCTTTGCGCCCTGCTTCTTAACACCTGGATATCAATGTGATGTGTGTGCTGTTTGAGGCCATCCAGGCATCACTAACTCTCCCACCTTCTCCACAATTTATGCTTTTATCTTTCCCCTCTGTATATGGTTTGGGCTTTTGGTTCTCACCTTTAGTTCATCCCACCTGTTTTCTCATGGTCTCTTTATCATGAGTAAGTATGTCCACTTGAACGAGAAGAAGTAATGTTTGTACTGACAATAGCTTTTACACCCATTGGCCTGTATCTTTAAAATATATAGCAGGCTTTGTCAGTGTTATCCAGTGATATTTCAGTCAATACAAATACTATATCAAGTTAACATAATATCAAATTTATTTTTCTCAAGGCATGAAATCGATCCCAGATGATACTCCAGTATGCCGCATACTACTGAGAAAGGAAGTCTTGCGATTAGTAATCAACTTGAGTAGCTCGGTAGGAACTAAAGGTCATGAAACAGGTCTCTTGACGTAAGTGAAACTTCTTCCATTTTTTTAGCTTTTACAAGTAGTATTCCTTTTGTCTTTGGGGATGGAATTGTTTCACCCTTCACACAAATCAGTTCTGTGTAGAACTTGGAAAGGGAAAACGTATAGGTGTACTTCTGGCACTGCTTAGCTCCATCTCAAAATAGAACTCACAGTAATGTTAGAAATTATACAGTTGAATTTAATAATGTTATTATAAAAAAATAAATGATACAGTTGAAAGGACTAAGTTGACTGCAAGGAATTGCTCGGGGTTATGCCCATCTTTCTACTTTTTCTCACTTGCCAGTCCATAATCATAGGCACATTTAGATGAGTTGACAACTGTGGGAGAGATTTCCGTTGGGAGAAATGCTGAAGTGATGGCTGATCAGCAATACATTTTGCTGGAAGCGATGTGGGAAAATTATGAATATTTCTTCATAATTTTCCCCACATCACTTCCAGCAAAACGTATTGCTGATCATAGTTTCAGAGTAAGCAGGTATTAATAATGGCATTAATTTATCAATCAAGCTTCAGTAGTTGAGATCTGTGTCAATTTCATCTTATAAATCTTTAAATGCCAGAACCTATTAAATTCCAGTCTGTTTTTGTCTACATGAGATACATGTTATCTGCATATTCAGTTCATTCCAGATACATTTTGATGCAGCACTATCACTCTATGAGCCAGTTTGGTCTAGGGGTTAAGGCATCAGGCTAGAAACCAGAGGTTGTGAGTTCTAATCCCACCTTAGGTACTAAGCCAGCTAGGTGACCTTGGGCCAATCCCTTTCTCTCAGCCCTAGAAAGGAGGTAATGGCAAACCATTTCTGAAATCTTGCCAAGAAAATTGCAGGGGCTAGTCCAGGCAGTTGCCAGGAATGGAAAAAACCTGACTTGAAGCTCCCCCCCCCCAAAAAAACCCCTATCACTCTAGAGTGTGTAAGAGCCAGTAAGAAGGAAGTAACTATCTTGGCACTGAATCACCTTTCTTGTAGCCATCACATGTTGTGGTATTTGTGAAAGCATGACCTTTGATATTTGGATTAGTTTCCTTCAAGCTTTTTATTCAATTTTATTTATTTGTGTTGTGTATTTGTGCATATTTTATTTCAAATGCTTATTTCTCAAGATTTGCCTGATTATCAGATTCATGTCTCAAGTTATATTATAAAACTTCATACTACTTTGATGGAACATCTTTAAAAGATATGTTTCCTTGTTCTTTCTGATTCAGAATTAAAGAGAAGTTTCCCCAAGCATTTGATGATATATGCCTTTACTCTGAAGTGTCCTACTTGCTAGCTCACTGCACTTTTCGATTACCATCTAGACGGTTCATTCAAGAACTCTTTCAAGATGTACAGTTTTTACAGGTGAGTAGAATTAAAATCTAATGAACTCTGAAATGTGGGCACTGAGTTAGTGCCCCGTATAAGTTGTCTTGAAAACTCAATACGCTGTTTTCTTCTAGATGCATGAAGAAGCAGAAGCTATTTTAGCCTCACTGGCAAATCAACAAACAGATAACCCATCAACTGAATCCTGACCTCTTGTTTTCTATGGTGTGGTAAATGTGAAGTTACTAGTAGCATTCAATAACATCTAACTGACTGGGCAACAGAGAAGTATCATCTTCTGAATAGTTCCAGGAGTTCTGGTACATGAAATTGGATGCTCAGTTGCAGAATCTTTCTTCAATGGAACTTGCTTCCAAAGCCATCTGAGCCCTGAGGGGAATTGTTAAAACAATGAAAGTAACAAGATATGCAAGAAGAATGAAGCACCAGACACTTATGCAGGTTTTCATTTCACTTATTTTTAAATGCAGTGTCACAAAAATAGAGGACAAAGTACACAGGACCTGGTTTACATGGTTGACTTTTGACTTCCGTTTTGGACAGAGTTGATGCCTTGCTTGTTTACCCTGGATTTTAGAGACATGGTATCTTAAGCTGTATCCCATTGTCATCAATGGAGCATGCTGTAACCATGACAGCAGGGGATTAATTAGGGGCTTTCCGTGATATATTTCTTAATTTTTCTGAACACTACTTGGACAATTTCTGCTCTCAGAGAATCTTCAGTAACTTTGGGGGTAACCTTAAATTATTTTATTGTTATAATATTAGCAGTCTGTCCAGTTTTGTTGCAGTTTCATGTAATTATGTGTAAACTGAACCAATTAAGGAATTTCACTACAGTTTGAGTTAAAACACACACACACCAATCCCCTGGAATCAGATTTCCCTCCATGTAATGCATGCATTTTAATGGGGTGTTGTACATTAATGCTCACCCAGTATGTTAATTGATTGTCTAAATGTAAATCTTAAAAACAATTATTTCTGTCAGATAAATCAAGTAAAATTAATACCTATTGCTGCTTTTAATCAAGAAAAATGCAAAATAATAATTTCACATTCCATGGCTTTAAATTTACTCCTAATCATTTGCTTCAGTCATACACATAAAAGATTAATGGCAAGATAATACCAATAATTGTAGTGAAAAGCCTTAAACATGCAGTGTTGAAGTGCTACGTTGCTATAATTCAGAGGTCTTTTGGATAAAATTTGCACAAATTGCATAATGGTGACAATATGTAGGTCCATTCTCCCCAGTCTCAAATTTATGCAAGGGTGGAGTTGAAACAAATTGAATTTATTTCCAAGCTGAAAAGGCTCTTTTAGAATCAAATAACTGATACCTGGAAACCTGTATGTACAAATGTATAATTGTTTTGTTTACAAAACCTATAGTGCACTGGGTTACTTGGTCATTTCTTGTGTATGAAAATAGTTCAGGTAGACTGTACTGGGAATATGTCCATCAAAATTTATCTCCCCTTAAAAGTATGCAAAGATTTGCTCGTCAAGATGAAATTAGCTCAGTTTTACATATATTTTTAACTGAGCATAATTAACATGCTAATATATATATATATGGGTAGGAATTTGTTCGTAGAGGCATAAAATGTTATGTACTGAACCTAGACATTCTAGCTTACATTTGTTATGAAAGCTAGAATGTCTAGGTTCAGTATATTGTCATATCAAAATTTTGCTCCCCATGGAAGAAAGTAAATGCCACCATTACAGTCATAGCATTGTCTAAGAAAGATGAAGAAAGAGTTTATCTGTGAATTGAATCTTCAGCACTACTAATCATAAGTAAAATCTTACACAGTTGAAGAGACAAAGGATTGATAGCTCCTTATGCATAAAACTCAAAGCAAGTTTTTTCCCCAACACCCTGAAATGACCAGGCAGGGCATCTGGAGCTTACTGAATTAGATCAGAACTTTTTAAAATTCTGCTCCTCACAAAAATTAGGCCCTGCATCCTTAGAATAAATCTGGAATTCTCTTCCTGCCACTTTGGCTGGAACTGTAATAACTCTACCGCTCTGTGATCCACAGGTGTAAGTACTAATGGGTGGGACACTTTCCAGAGTGGTATTTTTCATGCTAGACAAGCAGAAAGCAGAATGAAGGAACTGGCCTCAACAAAAGAGAGTCAGCTCACCCTAATTGGTCTATATCTGTAATTCCCAAAAGAAAGTTATCTCGAAGACACCTGAGTTAATTTGTATTCTAGCTTCTAACTTACTTCTCAAGAACAAGTCACTCAACAGATAAGGACCCACAAACAAGGTACAGGCCACTCTACATACAGAATGTGGGACACAGTTATTATGGATGAAGCATTTTCTTCCTCTTTCTAAAATCTTTTAAGGAAATACATGCCTTCTACCTCCAAGCAGAAGTTTACATTACCTCTTTATACTGCTTTGAACATATTCTAAGTGGGAGTACATCAGAATAATGTTTGAGTCAGTCTAATCCTCCTTAAAGTATTGGGGTATGTTACTATGGTACATAGACAAGGCAGTATGGATAACCTAGAAAATTGCCATAAGGAGTTTTAAAATTCCAGCCCAGGGCTGAAGAATCTTAAGGGGAGATCATAACGTTTTGCTGTTATGTTTCTAGACGTGAAATTTGAGTATCCGTTGAGAATGTGCTTACTTATCTCTCTAGTTTAGTGATCATTTAGCAGCTAAACAACTGAGGAAAGGAGGAATTGGAGAAATTTCAAATATTTCATTCTCAGGTAGGGCTAGCTCTTTAAATACAGTATTTAAGTTGGTGAGCCCCCCTCCCCCCAATTTCTGTTCTTTCGGGTTTTCGATTTAGGGACTACAGGAGGGAATAAGGTGCTCTCTGCTTGTTTTTCTGAACCATGGAACAAAGTTCTATGTTGGGAATAGCAGCAGATATAATTCAGAAGTATGTGCCAGTAAGAGTCTAGATTTCAGTATCTTCTCCTCCTATGACACTGTTTGGCAAAATCATATTACAATAATTTATGGAACATCTGGAGAGCCATGAAGTTAAAGTAGTTCCCTGATTTCTATGAGAACCACCTGAGGAAAAAATGGGAGAAGTGGGTCAGGAGAAAATAAAAGAAGGGCTTCAGCTGCTTTAATGCCTGCATATGGTCATCATACAGAGTTCATTAATAATTATCCATCAATATTTAGAGATGCTTTGATCTTAGATAAAACTCGTGTGCAGAACCAAAATGCCAGCCACAGTAGACCAAATGGTAGTGTAAATTCCAAAGGATTAATACAATACTTCCAGTAAAAAAAAGCAAATAACTGATTGTACATAGTAGTTATGAATGCTACCTCAGTTACGATAGAGTAATAAGATCTATAGATCGGTAACTCTAAGTGAAGTTAATTCATTTATCCTGTGTTTTGCATTTTTGCTTTCAAAACAAAAGTAGATGAGAAAGTTTTGTTTAAAACAAAGATGGTTGAGTTTTCAAGCTACAGCTGTTACTGAAGAAATATTATATTTACGGTGAAAAATTAAAAAATAAATTCAGTTAAATGTACGAATATACCCACTTAGATAATAATGCATAGGTGTAATGTTTTGCCATTAGGAAGGAAGGAAGGAAGGAAGGAAGGAAGGAAGGAAGGAAGGAAGGAAGGAAGGAAGGAAGGGAATTTTGGCTTCCATTCAGAATATTGCCCCAGAACAGCTGACCTTAACTGTATGGGCGACAGCATCACAAAAAATGGCAAAGAAACATTAAGTGAATTTGGATCTATGTATCAAAATACAGATCAACAGTGGCTGTAGTATCTAAACTGATGTTTCTTCTGTATGATGTTATACTTAATTTGTTAATCAATTTGTTTAACAGAACACACCTGGAATCTGGGTAGAAATTCATGTATTTTGAATTTGTTTTACTTACCTGACCGAGTTTCACAAGGCCAGTGGCTAGCTTCTTACATTGATGCACCTCTTTGTACCTGTAAAGCCACATACAGCTCAACAGCTCCTGCACTTGGCAAGCAGAACAAAAAGGCTTATGGAGCCCCATTTGATTGCCGTTGGGTGATGGGTTGCTTTCAGCTTAGGTACTTCTCTGAAGCAATTTCTCCTTGATCACTAAACCCAAAATTTGGATAATGGTACCTGAGTAAATACAGTAAAACATGAAACAGGTCTACGCATGCAGTACAAATTATAAGTATGATGGGAATGGTATCAGGGCTGCGCATGCTGCTAAAATGGTTTGGCAGAAGCATTTCCAACCTCACACAAGCATAGCAGCCATGTCTTTTTTCAAGCTTGGGCTTTAAGAATTAAAGACACATTAAAGCAGCAGCAGCAGCAGCAACTTTTTTTTCAGGCTGTCACGGAAGTTTTAATGAAGAAGAGAGAGGTGTTGTGCTTACACCTGCATGGGGTCCACAGCACTTCTTTGGAATCATTTTCAAATAACGCACAGCCCTGATATCATTGTCATTTTGGTAGGCTCAGATGGCCTACCAGTCCAGAAATGCTGCACAAAGAAATTCCTACATAAATGCTCCCTCCCATTATTGAAAGGGTTAAATAATTTGCAGAGATGTTTAATGCTCGCAACTGCTTCAGAATGGACCCTCAGAGCATGTTGCTATGTTTTGGGAATATATTGGGAGATAGGACAGCCTCCTTCCACGCACCTCCCCAGCCATAAACACTGGCAATTATTTGAACATGGGATATTTAAAGAGGCCTTCTTAGAGTATTTATGTGTGGTGGGAGAAGGAGAGTGGAAGAGATAACAGGTTATGAATGACAAAACATAACTCTCATTTTCTATCTTCCTTATATTCCTGGGGAAAAAAGAACAAATAGTGTGAACAAACTATCAGAGTGGTTCTTCACATTCAGCATCTCCATCTCTATTGATACAGGCCCCAAAGTACCTTGATTTTTACATAAGTTTACAAAACAAATAACTTTTCTTCATATTTCCCAAGGAGCATAGATTTGAATATTGTATCCTCTCTGTTTATGTCAAAGGACCTCAATTTCTACCAACTCCCTTCTCCCATTGCAACCTTTCACATAGTTCACAAGAGTCCTTCAGACCACAGATTTTGGGGGAATCACAAAAGTTCCATTTGTATGTTCCATTCACAGAATGATCCCAGGTCCTATTTTATAGCAACAGCAGAGAGTCATGTGTCCTATAAAAATAGGCCAAGAACTTAAAGACCTTAGATTAATAAAAGATAGATTTAAGTATTAATCCTCCTTGCTCATGAGGACATAAAGTACATAGGTTGGCCTCCAACATTTGCCAAGTGAAATATACCTGCCAGCACACACAGGATCATTGGATCTGTATCCATACATTTTGGGTCCTTCTGCATTTAAGTTATTCCCTGAATAGGACTATTAGGAACTCAGTTTACAAAACATGTTGTAATAACTAATCTGAACTATTGTGAATCAACAATAAAAGCTCTTCAGATATGACATAATTGCAGTCAGCCACACAGTTCTGTAGCCTTCCTAAACTTGGTCATCCCCAGTAATGGTGGACAGTACCCTTCATCCCCAATCCTCACGTGCAATAGTTAGAGGCAATGAGTTGCAGTTTATATCATGGAAAGATTATACGCAGTATAAAGAAAGAATACAGGATAACATTTTTGCAAAGTTAATATCCCATTTGTAACATGAACATTAATTTTGGACAGAGGGGGCATAATCCAACCAAGCAAAGCAATTCTAAGGTTTAGGAGTGCTTACTTAAGTTGACTCTTGCCTTGAATGTGTAAATCCTTTCTGTATAATCAAGGGAAATTAAACTCTCCCTTGAATATTGTCTCTTGCAATAATCCTAATTATCCTTTGTGTTTGTGTGTGTGCGTGTGTATGTTTTGCCCTTTTGGGTGGGGTAACATGACACTGTAAATTGGCAAGGTCGCGCCCCCCCCCCTTATTGTACCTTGGAAGCTACAGTGCTGGCTTGGAGGTATACTCGTGATAATGGGAACATAATCATATGTTTCTAACACATATCCCTGTTAGAAATTATCTAGAAATGGTAGCCTTATCTTGATTTTTTAGAATTTTAGTTAGGATTACTGTATCTTCTTAAGATCCAGATTTGCTACATGTTTTTGTTAACTTTTTACTTTCAGTAAAAAGTAAAGAATGTGGTTTTCCTTAGGACTATTTTTGTAAAATAGCTGGATAGCAATGCTACAGCATGCAGAAATTGCACTTTTTTGCCTGACTTGCTTATAAAATAGACACTATTTAATTTGGGGGGAAATGTAATTTATGCCAAAAAGAAAAAGGTAACTTGCTGCCATTTTGCCACTGCATAGGTTAGAGTAGCACAAAATGCAAGAACTGGGGGGTGGGGACGATTTGTAGATATAATAATTGTGGAGGATGGGGAAATATGCTTTGGATAGTAGATGCCAATAACCCAAATGATGCATGGGTTGGAAATTATGTAAATTAGTCATTCAGAGTGGGTGGGGGGAGAGATGATGGAAAGACTCATTTTCCCTATCCCGTATGGTCAATTTTCCATATATGTATATGTATTAGTTGACAAGCTGCTACATATTTGGAGGTTCTATTGTTTGTAGGTCACTGAATGAACTTTGAAATCTGATTTATATTATATACCTGTAACATAGAAAGAAAAAAGTATTTATATATTTTCTGTATGACAATTTCATTGAGCTGTGTATAATTTTAAAGAGGCTTTGTCCCAAAAAGGTTCTGCTCACCTTGATTCTTTTTTGTTGTTTTCATTGGTTTGGAATTTTGTTTTGTTTTGTATAGTGTGTACAGTTCACGTCTATGAATATTAAAGGCCTCCTAAAGCATTATCTTCCTATCAAAAGGGATGCATTGTTAATAAAATGGACTTTAAACATCTTACAGTTGTCTTGCTGTCTGTCAGATGTCAATTTTGCTGTCCCAAAGTCTTTTCACACTGCATGTTGAGTAATAAACTCTTAGTTTCTACTATTGGAAATGGTTATTCCTAGATATTAATAATTTAATTTTGAATACTGTAGGCTGTCTTTAATAAATTCTGGACTTCTCTCATTATGGTCCCCTGGTGTTGCCCTGGGGATTACTTCGGCATTAAAATCAAATCTGAGTCAATATCATTTGGTTGCAATGATACTGTAGTAGAATTAGGAGCAAGAAAAGGAATCTTCACCAATGAAGTTCTTCATTTAGGTGCTTACTCTCTAGTTGCTCTCCCAGCACATACTAACTGCCCTGCTTCAGACAGCTAAAGACTCTTGGCAACATTCTGTTTCAGTACTGTTAGCATTCAAAAAATTCAGGAAAATTGCTGATTTATTTTCCAGTATCCACTTCATTGATGTTAAATACAGATCAATGAAATTAAGTGTGATGCCCACTTCTGTACCTACAGATGAGGAAGACAGAACAATTGTATTTAAAAGGCTTATATGTCTGCCCAACCCATCATGTGACTGTAGACAGCTAAAAACAACTTCAAACAGCAATAACACAAAATAGTTATAACGACAGTAAGTGCAATGCCATGCTGCTGAGTCTGGCTCAAAATCTTCCATAACATCCTGGCCCAGGGCTTAGAGGAAAAGCCAGTTCTTTTAAGACTTCGTAGAAGGCCAACAGAGTTGGGGCCCTCCTGAGCTCTGAGGGAATGTTCCATAAGGCAAGTGATGTGACAGAGAAGGTATGTCTCCTGGCTCCCATTAGATGATGCTGCCTCATAAAGGAAGACCCAGAACATGCCCTCTCTGTCAAATCCAATGAGATGAGCAGAAATAATTGGGATCCCACAGTAACCTGGACCTGTGCCATGAAGGGCTTTGTAGGTGATAACCAGCATCTAGAATTGCACCAAGTTATTATTAACTGAAACATGTTTAGCCACATACAGTACTTTTTGGAGGGAAAAGCTGCCTTTCTTTAGGCTCACTTTCTCCAAGAAAACTGCAGAAGATACATAGACTGATTATTTTAACAATTTGTATGTCCATCCATCCTGCTACTGTGATTCTGGGCAGCTAACAGTAACAAAAACAATAGCAATCCAAAATAATTGGAAACAATTGCAGTACTATCAATATACAGTGCATCAGAGAGCCAAACAAATCTCTGGTGGTTACCCAGCTTAAAAGCAAGGTCTTTAACATCTTATGGAAGGCCAAATATTTTTGGAGAAAATGCTGTTCCACAGGGCAGGCATCACAAAAGTACACATCTCTCCCGAGTCCTGCAAGATGACACTGCTTAATAGAATGGATCTAGAGCATGCTTGCCCTGTTAGATCTAATGGGACCAGCAGAAACAGAGGCAGTCTCACAAATAACCTGGCCCTGTGCCACATAAGACTTGAGATGGGACCAGCACCTTGCCTTGCAACCAGAAGCTCACCAGGACACAGTGGAATTCACAGAGCAGTGGTGTGACATGTACCTCCATAACAACCAGGGAGCAAACGGAGCCCACTCACACACCTACTCACCACTCATCACAACTTCAGAAACTGGCACTCATTGCCTGGTGCATCTTTATTGGCAGAGGCTTTAGAACTGCTGGAGAGAGAGAGTGCTCTCCGGTTGCAGTTGGAGGGATGAATGGGGATGCTACGTTAGGCTTGCAGACAACTGAGGTGGGGAATGCCTGGGTCCCTTCTGGGTGAGAGGTGGAGTGGGATCAGTGACACTCCTCTCTGCTCTCCCATGTGTGGTGAGTAGGTGTGTGAGTGGGCTCCATTTGCTCCTTGGTTGTTATGGAGGTACACGTCACACCACTGCTCTGAATTCCACTGTGTCCAACAAGAAGGCTGTTGGCAGGCATGGTTAACCTCATGGCAGCAGTAGGACTCAGTTGTTAAGTTCCACTGCCAGCCTATTTCCACTCCCCTTGCCAGTCTTCCTTGGCACCTAGCCACCAGCACATCCTGCTTTGCAGAAGCCAGGTGTATCTCTGTGTCAGCCACTAACTGCTGCTAATGCCACCACTAGATATTTGCACTTTTATTTCAAATTAGCCTTTTTCTTTTTGACTTTACAGTTAAGGTGGAAGGAATGAGGCTGCTTGAGCAATACTTGGTTTTTATCTTTGGGGCTATTTTTTACTAAACATATCTAGGTTCAAGAAATGAAATCAACAGGTGGCAGCCCCAAGCAGACCTTTGGTGACTTCAAAAGCCAAGCAGGAGCCCTGGTTAACAGGTGGATGGGAATGCCAGAACTCTTGGCCAGACAGAAAAGTTGAACAAATCTTAGAAGAAAGCAATGTTACCAGGAGTCTCAAGGGCATCTTTCACTTTTAATGGGAATGCAGCCAAATCTCCAGTGAAGTCTAAACCTTTCACTGTCACGGAATGCAGGGATGATGTCTCATAAGTAGACATTTGTAGAAGTTTAATCTCATCTATCAAATTCCTGTCTTAAAAACATCATTTCGAAAGTTAAATCATTTGGAATGTAATTTGAACTTGATTACCATTTCTCCCTAAACTTAAGAAAACTGCTACCTTGGGAGGAGAGTGGGTGAAGGTTGGGGATAGCAAGGTGGTGTGTGGGGAAGGAACTGTGGGAGAGTGGCGGGGGGGGGGCACTTTGAATCACACTGCAATCCCACACGGCCAAATGGAGCCCAAAGTCTACTCTTTTTGCACTCTTGATTCAGAGAGAAAGAAAGATGCGGAAATATGCAGTTGCACAGCATCCACAGCAAACCACGATTACGCCAAAATAGCAACACATAATGACCCTATCAAATAATTTTATTCTTGTGTCCCAACATCTGAAAGCAAGTAGCATTGCCCTCATCACACATTTTGTCATTTTCCCACACACCCAACCCCCTCCATGGGCTCCTATAGGGTCACATTTTTAAAGAAGAGTAAGAAACACGTTTTAGCACTGCCTACTTGGCTGATGTTGGCTGACTCCCCCAACAAGAAACAAGTGAGTACCTCAATGGGAGATCACCAGAAAATTCCAGGGGTACAGATCAGACTGAGAAGTCAAAAACTTCCAGAAGAAAGTGATAACAAACCACTTCCATTGTGTTGTCAAGAAACTGGATGGATATTTGATAAAATACTATAGACAGAAATCAAATCATTTGAAAAGTAATTTTTTATATGTATATTTTTACTTGTCTGGAAAAGGTACAATACTGTACATCTTTTGCACATTCAAAATATGAGGGAAAGTTTCTTTCTCTTTGTCAAGTATGCAGGTCCCTTATTACTGCATGTTGTCTCCACTTTTAGCATCCAACAGCAAAATTCTTCAGCCAACATAAAAGGCTGTCCTATCTTTTCCTCTTCAGTTTTTCCCCCATTTCCATTAGTTTATGTTCAGATATTGTAATGCCCAGCAAACATGCCTCCTGTTTATTTAGAAGCTGCTCCGAGTGAACTGAAGTGAATTTGGTAGCTAACATGCATTTTAATCTGATAGCGATGTATTTCTTCTGGAAGTTCTGCTCAACTGAGGTCTGTAATCTATCCAATGTACAGAACAGGTGCAATCAGTTCCCTCACCCATAGAGGGAGGCACTTCCATTTGACAGAGGTAATTCAAATTGACTTTTGAATGGTCTTTTGTTTCTGATGTGCAGGGACTGGGCCTGCCTGTAAAACCAAAGTCTTGAAGAGGTTTGTATGATGTTAGATGTGAGTTGAATTTCTGGTTTGTTCTCTCTTCTGTCCGTAGTTCTGGGTAATAGGTGGATTGAACGTAACTCAAATTTTCTATTAGCATTCCCAAAGCAGGTTGTTTGGACCCTTGATGCTTCTCCAGCACGACTAATTGGTCAGGAATTGTATTACTGATTTCTATTATTCCAGGACTCATCTGCATAGGAACAACAACTGAATTAAAAACTGAATTATGTATTTATTTACTTACTAATCATATTTGTATAGCCACCAACCTCACAAAAAAGTGACTCTGGGGGGCATACAACACTCAGTTAAAAAGAAAACCAATAAATACCTATAAAACAGTCATTATTAAAATATAAAAACTATTAAAAAGCACATGGAACAAGAGAGGATGATGCTAACCACAATAAGGGAGCCATTGCAAAATCTCCCAGTCCCCTGGGAGCCCCAGGCCTGATCCCACAGCCAGGTCTTGAGGGACTTGCGGAATGTTGAGAGGGGCGGAGCTAACCTCACTTCCTGGGGCAGAAGATTCCACAAGGCGGGCGCCACGGCAGAGAAGGCCCGCCTCCTGGGACCCGCCAAATGTAATTTTCTGACCGATGGGACCCACAGCATGTCTTCTCTGCCAGACCTGATAGGACGGGAAGATATAATTGGGAAGAGGTAGTCCCTCAAATAACCCGGCCCCATGCCATTAAAAAATACCGGTATACATACAAAAGCAGACAGAACACAGAGTGCAAAACATAAATATTCAAATATAAGATTATGCCCCCCACCCTCCATTCCAGGAAAGGGTGTTGGTCCATTATGACTCTATAAACTCTCATTCCAAAGGGGATAGAATCTGCTTTTTTGATCACGTTTGGGGTCACTAGGGAAGAGGAGAGGATGGTGCATTGCTCAAGTGATGGTCACTCATGAAAAGACAGATGAAGTCCACGAGCCTTTATTCTATGCTCAAATTGGTTAATTCTTTATTAATGATAAATTAATGATAATTCCAGTACATAATAAACAACATCATTTTTGTAGTTCACCACTACAAATCTAAGTAAGGAAGCATGTAGGTATAGCCCTACATATACCAGATTTAGACAGAACATCACCAGTTCCAAATCACTTTCCCTGACATGGCTATTGAAGTAATTATCAGAATTACTTTTAGATCTGTGTATATCAATTAGCTATTCAATAACACAGGCAATGCAGTTTTTGGCAAAAAGAGACCTTTTTATCTGAAGAATGCTCTCAAGAATGAAATACCGAGTACTGTCTCCTCATGGCAACCCTTCTTAGATTACGTGCTTGTGCGGGAAAAAAATGAGGCTTTGATTGTGGGTTTTAATGATTAGATGGTTTGTGCTGATAGAAATAATGTGAATTTGGATTAATTAGTGGTAAGAGATTAATTTTTTCTTAATTTGTATTTATATCTGTATTGGATGAATTTGGATTAATTAGTGGTAAGAGATTAATTTTTTCTTAATTTGTATTTATATCTGTATTGGATGAATTTGGATTAATTAGTGGTAAGAGATTAATTTTTTCTTAATTTGTATTTATATCTGTATTGGAGATAGTCGGAAGTCACTTTCTGTTTCAATTTTCTATCTGTCTTCACTATTATAGTTTTGTCTTTTTTCTTTTAGCTCTATCTTCTCTCTTTGCTGTACTTTCTGCTTTGCATTTTAATTGTACTTTGAAATACAATATAATAAAGTTCTTATTAAAATAAAAAATAAAATACCGAGTACCCTAGGGAGGTATAAAATAAATAAATAAATAAAACTCTGAATATAAAGTATATAAAGCACTATGGGCCTTACTTTTTTTTCTAATTATTTTAAATCTGTTTTCATATCCTATCTCTAAGATGTTTAGTGCAATGCAGAGATTCCTTTTTGCAAAAGCTATACAAAATGCAGCTGCTTTCTCAACCTAATGTTCCAAGGTGTCAACCAAGTCCACTACTTTGGTAAAAACTAGGAAAGCAGCATTGCACCATCATGAGCCAAGCTCTGCCCCTTACGTACGTCTGTGCAACATCACAACTTCATACAGAAGCGATAGAGCTTGTGCTGCAACAGTGTAATGCTGTTTTGCCCTCCCTCGGCTGCCTTTGCCAATACCTATTAGATACAGAGCGACCTCCATGAATTCCAACTCTCACATCCTGGATGGGAACTCCAGCCATTGCATTATCAGCACATCTGGAGGGCACCAGATTGAGGAAGGTGGATGAATGCAATTTCTTAATGTATAACCTTACCTTCAAAAATGGGGTCACTTTAGGATGGGGTACTGCAGGACACAAACAATTCCTCATGCTGGAAAAGATAGAGATGGGGAAATTAAATAAAAATACCTCGTTTCTTCATGAAGAGGTGGAAAGCTTTTTAAAAAAAATAAAACTCAGTTTAAACTTAGGAACTTAGTTCCCACGTTAAAAAAAAAATCAAGGGCAACTGAACACTTATGCTATCTGTACAATTATACATTTGCCTAATTTAACAAAGGAATTTTACATCTGTTGCTTCTTAATTTATTACTGTATATATTTTTGCTGCTGGGCACTTACCAATTACTTCTCCAGAAACACATGCACATTATCAGCATTAATGGGATAATCACTAGTAGCTGAAGTAGATGGGAAAACCATTCTTCTGCTGGAAAGAAAAGCAGGTACGCATCTATTTAAATGTTTAATTGTAATTATTCAACACAATTCTCATGTAAGACAGACTTTTTAAACACAGTTTTAGGCTAGTTTTAATACCCGAAGATTTTTGAATTAATTTTCAGGAAAACAGAAAATAGATGCTTGCACCCCAAAGAAATATAACATCAGTAAGGGCCTGTTCCTTAATGAAGAATTACGTTTCACTGATAGAGATTGGAAAATGCCAGCAAAGGACTAATTAAAAAAAAAAAAAACTTGGTTGCTAAAGACCCAGTTTCCTTCCTTCCTTCCATCCATCCATCCATCCATCCATCCATCCATCCATCCATCCATCCATCCATCCACTCTCTCTCTA